TTTACCCTTTCTCAAGGTTATTAGCAGCCAAGAAATACTGAATGTGAATACTAATTCCAGAAGATAATACATGGTGTACATTAAAGTTAATAAGTTAATTGAATAGTGAATGAGGGAAAAGAAAAAGAAAAATATCATGAATCATGCAGGTTACACTCAGTGGCTACTATTTTGGATAGCAGTACACCTACAATCAATAGCACACACAAAAATGCACACACAATAATACTAGTGCCAATTAGAATTTTTGATTCAAAGGCACAATTCAACTCAACCTATGAAATAACCAAAGGAGTTTAAATCTCATATTTTTTTGTTTTTTAGAATTTGATTTTCCCAAGCTCTGGCAGATTAAATAGTATGAATGGTTTAGGTTTGATTATAAACTCTTCTGGGCCTGGACCTCTTGGGCTGGGATTTCTTCGCATTACAGACCCAGGTATAAGGGCTGAAAAATTGAGGAGCAAAGATTGAAAGGAGCTAAAGGCCTTTAATTTTGTCTCTCTTCCAGGCTGTAAGAGAGATAAAGATGGTTATTACTGGATCACAGGTCGAATTGATGACATGCTGAATGTTTCTGGTAAGAGCCAAATTCTTGTGGAAGGATAATAGTTGCTTGTACAATTCTCTTGTTGACATAATAAGATTTTTAATATCTTTAGATCTTGGTCTTGGTTTTCACCCCAAAGATGATGCATTTTTTTTTCAAATAAGAAAGAAGAAATGTGTTTGGAACTGTACTTGGTCATTGCTAGAGAATACAAACCATGATTAAGAAGAAAAATATCCAGTATTCACCCTTTGCCCCACCAGAAAAGCTAAATCAGGACATGAACAAATTTAAGTAATGTCATGTTGTTAATGGGACATCAGCCAGCTTTTAGAAAATTAAAATGGCAATAAATAAATGCTTATGTCCTTAAAATGGTTTCTATATATATATATAGGATATCTCCTAATATTATTTGAGTTATTATTTCCTCTGAGAAGCTTAAAGGTTATACTTTATTTGTACCTCACAAATACAAATATGAAGAAAGCTGGCATATAATATATTAAAATTATAATTATGCAATTAATATTACATATTTGAAAATAAAATCCTAGCAAGCCATGCCTTGCGTCAAGAAGCTATGAATTCTCTTAAAGGCAGACTATTAAACACTGTTGGGAAAAACTGAAGCTTTTAGTGCCTACTAATATTATTAACTTTTATTAGGGACAACTATAAATTCTCATTCTCTATAAAATTGGCTTTTCTAAACTCTTTTGTGTCAACATTTTGTAATCTCAAATTTTATTTTTCAACCTTTACAGTATGATTATTTCCAAAGAATAAAGAAATGAAAGCAAAGGAATTAATAAGAAAATTTGACCAGCTTTACGCTTTACATTCTGATCTATAGCTTGATTCAATAACACACTGCTTTTGTATGAAAAGAAAAGAGTGGGAGGACAAGCCAATGTTTTTTTTTCTTTCTGTTTTTTTTGCAGGGCATTTACTGAGCACAGCAGAGGTTGAATCGGCACTTGTGGAACATGCTTCTATCTCGGAGGCAGCCGTAGTTAGCCACCCACACCCTGTAAAGGGAGAATGCCTCTATTGTTTTGTGACTCTGAAGGATGGACATGATTTCACAAACAAACTGATTGATGAGCTGAGGAAACAAGGTAATTGTATTGGTTGAAGTCAGAGAAGCACGTTGAAAGTTGTGCATCAATCCAAATAGATATATCTATAGACATATAAAAAACAAATAGATTGTGGCAAATAGGACACAAGGATCCTGAATGTAAGAAGCAGAAATGAGCAATTTGTGTTTCTCCAGATCTTGTAGAACTTAATTTGCAGCAGCCCCAGTTAAAATGGGGTTAGTTATGGGGAAGGTTGGAATTTATATTCTATGGGAAGGCTTTGGTATGCCCACCTCTGTATTCAAGTTTGAGCGCAATCTTGTTAGATTACTAGTGGTTAAACATAATTGTCTCAAATCTAGCAATTCCAGATTTTTCAGGGCTGCAGCTTCCTAGCCAACATGGCCAAATTAGGGGGTTGGCCAGAATTCTGGACCCCAAGCTTGAAAAATCTGTATCAATTTATTAAAAGACGACAGGAATACCACATGGGATATGTAAATTGTGCAGTCTGATATTTTGTGGAATCAAATGTCTTCTTCCCCATTAGTGGAGCTGATATAGCATCAACATGTATAGCAAAAGGGAAGTCCTGTGATGGATGTAGTGGTCTCTATCCTATGGTACCCCATGAGCTTTGTTGTGGCTTTTCTGGCAAAAATCCATGTCTATCAGCATGCCTTGTTCCTCAGCCTGATTTGAAAAAGTGTTTTTCAAATCAAAAGGAAACCTTTTGGTTCTGTCAAAACTAAATTTAGTCCTTGCCTTTCATTTGCTCTTGCTGCCAGCTGGCAAACACTTTCAGTACTTAAGAGCACACTGTACACCCATGAACACGGTGGGAATTCTGCAAAAGTGTGTACATAGTGACTCTCCAATTGTCAACAAGTAAAGAATGCATTGGCATACTTTATGTTTATCTGGTCCAGGCCTTTTACATAATTTTGCTATTTCTTAATATGCAGAGAGAAATAATTGCTAGCATTTCTTTTTCCTACAACAGCCTTTTGGGGATAAGTAACTGCTGAGTAGTCCCTTTCCAGTTAAAAATAAATTCTGAAAAATCCTTGTGCCTTTTGAAAGCATTTTAATGGGGGAGATGTTCCTAGGAAATACATTTGCTTTTCGATTTTTAAGATTTTTAATCTTGCATTTGTAACTGCAAGAGCTTGTGAGAGTGGGAGTACCAAGATCATTCTGTTAGTTCATATAGGAAGAGTCTTGGCCAGGACTCCAGGAGGACTGTCACTGGATGTTAACAGCTCCACCTCCCAATTTCTATACAACACATAGGGATTCCATAACATACATTATTATAGTTGTAGTGGGGGCAAATATGCGTAACTCAGAGATGGCACGTTGCCTTGCTTGAGTTTTTTGAACTTGTTTTTTGGGTTATAGACATGTAATTCTAATATTTAAGGGGCTGCCACAAAGAAGCAAGGCAACATGCCACCTTGAGTTACATATATTTGTTCCCATTACAACTACAACAACATATGTTATGGAATCTCTATGTGTTGTATAGAAGAATATGTATCATCCTCTAGTGCAGAGGTCTCCAACTTTGGCAATTTTAAGACCTGTGGACTTCAGCTCCCAGAATTGGGAATTGAAGTCCACAAGTCTTAAAGTTTCCAAGGTCTCCCCCCTGCTCTAGTGGCAGATTGCAATTCTGAGACTGAACATATTTAAATAGAGACAAGACCCCAATTATCAGCCATCTCATAGAAGAGGTCAAATGACTTCTGAACCCTAACTTTTTAAAAAACATGTTCAGTTTTTTTTTTGTTCACAGGAGCTAAAAGAGTTTTCTTATTTGCAGTCAGAGAAAAGATTGGTCCTATTGCAACTCCAGATTATATCCAGAATGCTCCTGGCCTGCCCAAAACCCGCTCAGGTATGTTTTGATTTTGATACCTGTTACTATGTTGCAGGCTCTTGCTACTTACTAAATGCTATATTTGTTGTGCTTCCAGAATCAGTGTGAGAATTTAAGTCTTTAGAAATTAATTGGCAACTAATCTGTAAGTATACAGCTTGTAAATTAGACAGTCATTTTATTTGCATACATACACACTGAACTAAAGACACATGTATTGCAAGCTTTGTGTAGGTGTGTATATCCATTATAGGATAAGGCCAGTAATTATTCTTTTGGCAAAACATATTTGTACAACAAGGCCCAGAAAAATTCAAACATTGGTATTTCAGTTTATAATCTCATTATTTTAGGATCCAGGGTCCCTGGGAGTATCCATTGTGTCAGATTTGATTTGTGAGTGTATTTTAATTGTCTAGAATCCTACACTTTGTACAGATGCATAAATCTTACAGTTTTACAAATCATTTGACTTCAGCTTCTTTGCATGACAGATTTAGAGGGCCACATAAATTATTATCTGTACAGGATTAATAATCAATTCCCTCATTTCTTTCTCATAATCAAAGTCAACTTAATACTGTACTTTCTTTGTAGGTAAAATTATGCGGCGGGTATTAAGGAAAATTGCAAAAAATGACCGGGAACTGGGCGATACCTCAACAGTGGCAGATCCAGCAGTTATAAACCATCTTTTCAGTAACAGGTGTGAGACAATAATGTAGCAGAGCTATCCTACTAAAACAGCAGAAATGCAAGAATTTGATGAGAATATGGCCCCTGAGAGACAATGACTTGAAATGGGAAATTGTTATGTGCTGCTCTGAATATAAGATCCTGAAGAGAAGACAAACTGGTGCTCCAATATCCAATCCTTTCATGTTGTAAATCTAGCTTTGTGCCTCTAGCACTATGTTAAATTGTCCAATACTTCACATATGACATTTCAGCCTCATTCACCCAATTTCAATTATTTTTAGTTTTACATTTAACATGCTATAATTGGTGGAGCTTAGAACATGCAGATATTGGTATGAAAGAGGCTTTCCTCCTGAGCTGTAGTTATGAGCCTTTAAAAGGCTTGAGAACTAATAGATTAAGCAGTAATCCTCATGTTGAGGCAGTATTACTGAAATACATATTTTAACAATTAAGCATTTGTTTTAACAAAATATTTCCTGAGTACCCCAGCTGCACAGCATAGGAAATGAGACATTTTAAAGAAGTCAAATATGAAGCTGTGTAAAATTATTTTTCCAGTGTTCTGTTGAAAATGTAGACTGGAAAGGATTGTTATACTTTTTTGTTCCCCCAAAGGAATATTATCATCTACAGATTCTAATTTTCAATAATGTTTGTGTGCTTGAATGCACACATTTTAATTTTTGCAGTATATTGTTCCATGATGGATGCAACTTCAGCTGTTCTAGTCATTAAAGCTATGCTGTATGCCTAGATATTCTGTAGAGGGAGGTTTTTTGGGTTTTTTTGGCTAGAAATATTTGGTGCAATGTCAATGCCGGTTGAATCTGGGGAGATATAACTATTTTCATTAATGGGTGAGCAACAGATGTTATAAATATTAAAGGAAGTCATTGTCTGATCAGCTTGTGTTCCACAATCACATAAAGGAAATGAATAAATATATTCAGAGATTCTGGACTGTTGGAATGGTCTGGTTACACTGAAGAAATGTCTTCCAGGTGTAGATCCTGTGTATGACCAAAGTCAAGCTGCTGCTCTTATGAAAGAAAGAAAAATGGCCACCAAACAGCAGACACATTTTCTTCAGTTAGATGACTTTATTCATAGTTCATTATTCTTGCTTCTTGAAATTAGAGTGGTTCCCATTGAAAGAGCAAAGGCAAAATCAAATTTAGTTTTAGATCTGATATGGGTACTTAGGTGAGGAAAATGTGAACTCTTTAATCCTTGCAGATTAATAAATATATACAATGGGAAAGGTTTGTTTCAAAATTTCCAAGGCATTACAGCACATAGTGCTGTTCACCTTGAAATGTCTTTGTATTGGAAACTGCTATTTACTATCTGAAACATTTTTTTGCCTGTGATAACTATGTTGTTGCATCCCTGAAGATGTCTGCATTATCCATAGAACAACTTACATCTGTATGCCCCTCATATTGTGTATTTGACTACTGTGACCATTGCTTTATCTTTGCTCATGAGTATATTTTTCATTTTTTAATCTGCTGGTGGTAGTCCAAGTGTACTTGTGTGTGATCTGCAACATTGATATGCATATAACTGTGTTCTACAGCACCGTTAGTAGGCCAGTGGCTTACTAAATGCTGTTGATACAAATTCCTCTTATTTTTGGACACAGAATGATATAAATATGGCTGGGAAAATGGGAAAAATGTTTTAATTGGAATAAATTAAAAAGATAAAACCTATTACACATGTTTTATGTTCCTTGTTTTGAATGATAAACCAGGAGTCTCACCTGTTTTGCTTAACATTTCTAGCATCGTTTCTTCCGTTTGCATTTGTTTATAAATTAGTAAACCTAACAGTTAAAGGGTCTACTAAAAAGGCCCCAACATAACTGGTTCTATAAAGTAAGATTTCTATTAAACACTTTACAGATAGTCCTCAACGTACAACCACAATTAAACCCAATTTTTTTTGTGGCTAAGCAAGACAGTTGTTGAGTTTTGTTCCATTTTATGCTTTCTTGCCACAGTTGTTAACTGAATCACTGCAGTTATTAAATTACTAATAGGGTTAAGTAAATCTTGCTTCCCCATTGATTTTGCTTTTCAGAAGGTAGCAAAAGGTGATCACATGTCCCCAGCTGTCATGACTAAATTGCCACGTGTCTGAATTTTGATCACATGACCATGGAGATGCTGGAATGGTTGTAACTGAAAAATGGTCATAAGTTATTTTTTTCAGTGCTCTTTTTGAACGATCATTAAACAAACTACTGTGGGTCGAGGACTACCTGTTTTCAAATTGCGACTCATTATCAGGGCTGTACATTGCTTTGGATTCAAAGGCAAACAGGTGATTTGGAGGATGTACCAGCACCTGGCTGCATCTCCCTAAACGAAGTACATCTTTTTCTAGGAGTGTGTTGCAATTGCAGACATCAACCATGCAACCCCAAGAAGAGGTGGCTGCTTTAAAAAATTGCAAAGCTGTGTTGTGTAAATGTCCCTGTGCCCCCAGGGCATGTTTTTGCCTTTGAATCCAAAGCAATGCATATCCTTGTTGTGGTATCGATTATTAATTGGTTGCAGTCAACTTTTATCAACAAGGTACCCCCCTGGTCTTAATCTTAGGAGGAAAAGTGGGGGTGGCAGACCCAATTGTCACCCATTATTTTTCAGAATAATTTCCAATCGATATCAAGTATATTATTTAGAAAATTATTCTACTGATTCTTAATACTTATGCCCTCATATAGCTCCATTAATTCTCTAAGTCTGTCCTCTAAAATGCATTAAGGCTGTAGTCAAGATATCTATGTGTAAAGTGAGACAGTGCTCTTGAACAACAGAGACATATAGAGATGTCATCTTTTTAAAGCAAAGTGATAAAGGTGTGAAAGGCTGAAAAGATATTATACCGTCAGTGCTATTACAAGAAGAATATTCAGTTTTCTGCAACAAAAAATTCCATTGTTTCACAGCTTTTGGAGATTTAAGAATCTTGAGTTTTAAAAAAATAACTATATTAATATATATGTTCCTCACATCAGTAGATCTGATTTCTAAATATATTACACATTTGCTTTCTTTTTCAAGAAGTATTGACACATTTTTTGTAATCACCTATCATTTACTCAGACATGAAATAGTCAGAACTGATGAGTTTCACTACTATTTTTAGCTCAAATTAGTTCTAGTAAACCTGGCTGCTATAGACGTTTTGCATGTTAAGAGTTGGTTTTGAAATAATTTCCTACTAAACACATCTTTCACCTTTTTCTTAGGTTTGTTGCTTTATAAAATAGATGGCTGCAGAGAATCACTGAAACTGAAATTTTTATTATGTCCCTTTATCCAATGCTAGTGTTTGTGCATCTTTTAAAGGAGCTCATCAAAAGCACCATAAAAACCAATATGGATACACGATTCTTATTTGTTCTCAGGTCATTTTTAGGCAGAAACAGAGTGAAACAGAAGTTTCCCAAAAGACTGTAATTCTGGAAGAATTTCATTCCTTAATGCTACTCTGAGAAAAATGGAATTACATTTTGAATATGTAGAAAGTTATCAAGAATATTTTCTGCTATCAGAAATCCACATGCTCTTTTAGGAGATGCTTATCAACCAGTTGACCATGATTTTTAAAAGCACAGTACGTCCATGACGTGCATCAGAAAATTTCAATGTAGGTAATTTAGAATCCTCTATTTTCTGAGTAGGACTGCAAATTATTAAACAGAATTTTAAGTTTGATTACGAAGTCTGCTACAGTGTTTCTCATATAATAAGGCCAGGTCTTATTTTTTTTTTGAGCCCCGAAAAAACGGCTAGGCCGTCTTTTCGGGGGTGACTTAATTCCCCCCCCCTTGCATCTTAGGGCGGGCGGCGACGGCTTGGATGTTGACCTCGGCGTTGGTGGGGCACTTTGTATCAGGGTCAACGCAGGCAGCACCATATCCAGGTGTGCAACAAAAGTACTTCCTAACAGCAAGCCCTCCCGCCATTTCCCCCCCATTACGCATGTTTTAATATAGGCCTTAATTTGGGGGGAGGGGCTTAATTTCATTTCATGCCTATAAAACATGCTGGGACTTCCTATTGGGGGAGGGCCGTATTGTTGGAAAAACAGGGTATTTGGCAATCATGCCTTAAAAAAGTGTCCTTTTTTATATCACATAGGGAGTATCCAAGACAGCTACACCAGCTGCCACTCCACCATCTGCATGTTCCATAGCCTTTGTTCTCAAGAGATGACCCACATGCTTGTTCAGCACAAACTTCTGACCATGTCTGCAAGGGAAAAAAAGGGATATATAACATTACTCAACCTTTTATCTATAATCTTGTTAGGGTTCCATTAAAGCAAAGCTGCTTGATTCTAAGCAGATCATTTGTCTATATATACTTGCTCAACAATTCTGCAACGGCAAGCCAAAATACTTCACTGTTCTTATAATATCACTGAAAATATTTCAGTTGTAAGCAATGGAATAATTTATTTATTTAAAATATATGGCTGCCTGTATTATGGCACACAATTATGGACAGCTAACAAATGATTAAAAACACAAAAATCATTTTAAAAATCTAGAAAAAACAGTCATCCACACCATCATCTACATCACTGATCTATACAGCCCCTTGGTTCCAACTTTATTATCCCAACACAAAGACAGTTCTGGAGTTTTAGAGCATGAGACTGTTTTTGTAATCCATCAGAAATCTATTTAATCAATATAGCTTAACAGGTAATACTCAAGCGCAGAATATCGAGAACTATGCTTACTTGTTTTTTCCCCCCTATTGTATTTCTATTAGAAGTAGCAGGAAGAGTGCCAGGAGGTGGCAGATAGGATTACTTTCTTCTAAAATTGATTTATTTTACATTCCCCTATTATGTGGTTTCATTAAACATAGCAAGGTGCTATTTTAAATCAGCTAGTTGTACTGAGGACTGGGCAGATATCCCTAGATGTACATGGTAAGTCTAATACAACATCTAGTGATTTCTAACACCTAGTTCATCTTTATAGTCAGTAAGTTAAATTGAATTAGATCACCAGTCTATTTAGCTTGGTATTGTCTACTATGAACAATTCTTGAGATTTTAGCATAATACTTTTTTAAGCCACAGCTTCAGATGCTAAAAACTGAAACGTGATTATTTGCATACAAAGTATGCTCTACCAACAAATATTTTATTAAAATACTAAATTAAATTTCAGTTTAAAAATATACATATATATACACACACATACATACGTGTGTATATGTGTGTTGGGTACTTTGCATATGATTCAGAGTGTCATACGTTATCAATAAACAATCCACAATCTATATATGTAAGAACAATATAATGAACAAATAATTTTAAAAAAGAACATAAACATTAAGACATAAAGTATCAGGAAAAATTCAACTAACAGAATCATGCTGCTCCTTGACCCATAACTGGGGAAATGATAGATATTTAATACCTTTCAAAGACAGGAAGTCTGGGCCAATGAACCTCAGGGGGCTGTTGTTCCATCCTCACTAGAGAATATGGTCTAAATGATAGGACCTGAGCACACCAACCCTGTACGATCTTACAGAAGAGCCGAAATAATTCAAGATGGACAATTCCACTAATAACCTGGCCCATAGCCATGAAAGGTTTTACAGGTAAGAATCAGTACTTTCAATTACAACTGGAAGCTCACCGCTAAACAGCAATGATAATGATAATCAAGGGTAGCCCCATTTAATGCACATGGTAATAATCCATCTGAGATGCCCAAGGCATGAGTGGTCATAAATAGGTCTGTTTGATCCAGATGCAGATGCAACTGGCAACAAGGTAGAACTCTGCATAGCTGAATCATAGCTGCTACCTGCTCTTCAAGCAAGAGCTACAAGTTATAAGGACCCATATATTGTGCACTAGTTCTACTTGAAGAAGTGTGACCTGTCCAGGAAATCTCTGGATCCAGGGAGTTCTACAGTCACTAGGCCTTATGAGGGTAACCTGTTTTTCCTCATCCAAGTCCCTATGGCCTTCACACAATAGTATCACAAGAAGGTTTGCAGTGGAGATATACAACTATCATCAACAGCTGTGCTGAGGCCCATCCCCTCTCACAGAAGAATTCTCCATTGCTTCGACCCAATCTCATGCTACCTCCTGGTAGGTCTTACATGAAACAAGAGAGGCATGGATCTAAAATACAGGTGCATGCACTCACAGCACCCAGGACCTGTCCATTTTTTCAAGGCCAACAGGAACAAACACTTCCCAGATAATAATTATTCCTTATGAACTTAATGTGCAGATTTTATCCAGAGTGTTAGCAAAAAAACTGTTTTGAAAACCTGCAAACGAACAGGAATATAAAAGTTTAGTATCTCTAGGAATTACAGCCAGTTTCTCACCTGATATAGACTCCAAAGATTCCCAATTCAGACACACATTCTGATATTTTCAGTGGACAATGAGCCCTCAATAAGTAATTTAGTGTTGGGAGAGCCTTTATCTTATCCATGAGAATATAAGAAGTCCTCTCAGAACTGTCCTTAATTTTCTCCAGAACTTGTTTGAGCTCATCTCCATAGAGATTATTCCCTGGCAATGCAATGGAAGTTAATATTAGACAAAAAGGTGCTAATTTGTATGGTAGGTTCTTGTCCCATCCAGCAATATGAAATAATAGACAAGTGCAAAGGATAAAAAGAGAAACAGTTTCTTATAATTAGCAACATTTACATAGGCAGATTTCCATTTATCCCCCAAACTCTACAGCACAACATGTGTATGTGTGATCTGATAAAGAACATTTTTTGTAGGATTTGTGGAAGTTAACTTCATAGTGGAATGTCTTTTTATTGCTTAGTTAATGCTAGATTTGCTGCAATTTAATAAATGATACTAAGTACTTCTAGACAGACTGCAGATGAACAATGATTATGGAATAACTAAATTCTTTCAGCATTATAGCAGAATTATCTTTTGGTTAAAACTATCAGCAAACAACATTCTCACCCTGAACATATTTAAACCACTACTGTATAACTCTTAACTTAAATATCTGATGGTATAAGTGGCTAAGTGGTTTTAGAACCACTTATTTTTTATGATTAAAAAATAAATAATTAGAACTTTCATTATACAAGCCTAGCAAATAATTACCTCCTCCTTCCCTTTGTGGTTTTAACACAAATCGATCTGGGTCAGCAATAGCAATGGCAACCATTTTATCACCCTCTTCATCCTTGAGGAAAAGAAGACTGTTGCAAAGTAGCCAAACCAAGTGCTTAAGCTTTAACAACAAAATTCTAGTGCATATTAAACAGACATAATAGCCCTAGACAAAAAATAAGATTCACAATTTACCAAAATATTTTATTAAAGGTATATACTTTCTATGTATTATCAATACTGTGCTTTCCAATTTTGTACTGCATTATAACACTGCATATACTAAGTGTACATTTCCCACAACACATTGCTGCTTACCATTTCCAAAGAGTAGAGACCTGTGAATGTTGCTCTCAATCGAGCCACTGCTTCTGGTTCGTTTGGCAAGAATCTTTCCAGGACTCCTGGTCGGCTGAGTTCCTGCTGAACTTTTTTGGTTCCAACCAGCTGTGTAGCTATATCAGGACACTTAACTGCTTTGGACTTTTCCAGTAATAACCGTGCTTCCCAGTTCTTAAAACAAACAAAATAATCTCATTGCAGATGCTTTTGTAGCATAATATTTAAGACACTGCACAATTATTGTAGGTCATGCAGCTGAGGAAACTTTTATGTTCCTTCTCTACCTTGCGTCTGCATCTCCTGCAATAAGCTAACAAATACTTACTCCATGAAAACTGCAGATTAGCACATCTCTGCAGAATCTTTTAGTATAAAAACTGATAAAATTATATATATATATCACTACTGTTTAATTAGGTAAAAAGAAATCCAGATAACCTTCTGGATATCTGAATATTAGCAAAAGATATACATAAAAATATCTTTTCAATAGTCACAAATATCTGTAGCTTGGGTGTAGAATGAGGGTTCGTTTCCAAGCTTGTGAGAACAAACCTTCATCCTCATAAAAATACCTCTTTATCCACTGAAATAGCCAGCCTGAATTTGACATGTCAGCCAAAGTAATTGCTGTTAAATTTACAAATTATTTCTCCCCCCTCTTCCAACCGAAATCACTTCAGAACTTTGTCATTGTTTTCTGAATAATTTAGAAAGGAAGTCATATAAACATCTTAGCAATGTTTTTTGAAATGGCAATGAACTATTGAAATTAATTCAGAGAAAAACAGCCAACTATCATAGGAAGACCTGAATAATTTTCAATTAATTTCACAGCTCATGGACCAAAATGTATTTAGAATGATTTCATTTTAAATATATACAAGACTTCTGCATTATTTCTATTTAATTATTATATGATTGAGATTGTTGTAGTTCATCCTGAAATATGTGATAATTGTACAAATGGTCCTTAAAATAAATTATATACCTTATGCCTAGCTGTCAAAGATCATTACGGTACTAACCTGTTCATTGTAACTTGTTGGCATATAGCCTTCCCTGTAATATACCACTGCTACTTCCTCCCCATCTCTGAAACAGAGAGGAAATATGTAAGCACTTTTCTCCATTTTTCAAGCCTTCTCTCCCCCACTCTCTCTCTCTCTCACAGACACAGAAACCGTGCAACACATTCCATTAACACAAAGATTTCTATTAATGTTGAATGCTTTGATTACATTTCAAAACAGTACAATTACTGAAATACTGTAAAATCAGCATTATCAAACAGATCACTCTCTTATAGTTCTGCTGATAAATATAATAACTGATTTCCAACCTTTCAGTAATTAGGACACAACTAGATGTGTTAAGGACTGAAACTGCTTTAATAGTAACCAGGATGTCATTCACTTAAACCCTTGAATGAATTCTATTTCCATCAGTACTAATTTAGCCATTCATTAGCTACTTATTAAAAATGTATTTCACAAATCCAGTTAAAAATAATTTTTGATTTACATTCTGGTGGTCATGTGAACATTTACAAATATCTGATACTATTTTTTTAACAAATGCAACACAAATATTTTGTAATGCTCAAACACTACAGATGTATGAAAATTAAGCTCACATACGAGCTATCCATGCCCTAATCTAAAATTTTAGTTTAATCCTTGTTTAACAAAATCTTTTGTTTAATCCTTCCTATTATACACTGCTCAAAAAAATAAAGGGAACACTTAAACAACACAATGTAACTGCAAGTCAATCACACTTCTGTGAAATCAAACTGTCCACTTAGGTAGCAACACTGATTGACAATCAATTTCACATGCTGTTGTGCAAATGGAATAGACAACAGGTGGAAAGCATAGGCAGTTAGCAAGACATCCCCAATAAAGGAGTGGTTCTGCAGGTGGTGACCACAGACCACTTCTCAGTTCCTATGCTTTCTGGCTGATGGTTTGGTCACTTTTGAATGCTGGCGGTGCTTTCACTCTAGTGGTAGCATGAGATGGAGTCTACAACCCACACAAGTGGCTCAGGTAGTGCAGCTCATCCAGGATGGCACATCAAAGTGAGCTGTGGCAAGGTTTGCTGTGTCTGTCAGCGTAGTGTCCAGAGCATGGAGACGCTAACAGGAGACAAGCCAGTACATCAGGAGACGTGGAGGCGGCCGTAGGAGGGCAACAACCCAGCATCAGGACCACTAACTCCTCCTTTGTGCAAGGAGGGACAGGAGGAGCACTGCCAGAGCCCTGCAAAATAACCTCCAGTGAGCCACAAATGTGCATGTGGCTGCTCAAACAGTCAGAAACAGACTCCATGAAGGTGGTATGAGGGCCTGACGTCCACAGGTGGGGGTTGTGCTTACAGCCCAACACCGTGCAGGACATTTGGCATTTGCCAGAGAACACCAAGATTGGCAAATTTGCCACTGGCGCCCTGTGCTCTTCACAGATGAAAGCAGGTTCACACTGAGCACATGTGACAGACGTGACAGGGTCTGGAGACGCCGTGGAGAATGTTCTGCTGCCTGCAACATCCTCCAGCATGACCAGTTTGGCAGTGGGTCAGTAATGGTGTGGGGTGGCATTTCTTTAGGGGGCCGCACAGCCCTCCATGTGCTTGCCAGAGGTAGCCTGACTGCCATTAGGTACCGAGATGAGATCCTCAGACTCCTTGTGAGACCATATGCTGGTGCGGTTGGCCCTGGGTTCCTCCTAATGCAAGACAATTCTAGACCTCATGTGGCTGGAGTGTGTCAGCAGTTCCTGCAAGATGAAGGCATTGATGCTATGGAGTGGCCCGCCCGTTCCCCAGACCTGAATCCAATTGAGCACATCTGGGACATGTCTCGCTCCATCCACCAATGCCACTTTGCACCACAGACTGTCCAGGAGTTGGGGGATGCTTTAGTCCAGGTGTGGGAGGAGATCCCTCAGGAGACCATCCGCCACCTCATCAGGAGCATGCCCAGGCGTTGTAGGGAGGTCATACAGGCACATGGAGGCCACACACACTACTGAGCCTCATTTTGACTTGTTTTAAGGACATTATATCAACGTTGGATCAGCCTGTAGTGTTTTTTTCCACTTTAATTTTGAGTGTAATTCCAAATCCAGACCTCCATGGGTTGCTAAATTTGATTTCCATTGATAATTTTTGTGTGATTTTGTTGTCAGCACATTCAACTATGTAATGAACAACGTATTTAATAAGAATATTTCATTCATTCAGATCTAGGATGTCTTATTTTTGTGTTCCCTTTATTTTTTTGAGCAGTGTATGTTGCTGCATGATCTGTAACTGGGAGAAAGAATTGTGAAATTACCATCTGTTCCTATGTGGAATATCATTAAACATTTTATCTGGCTGATAGTTACTGCTCTGTGCCAACCACAAAAACTGCTTTGCATGTTGAGGAAAGATCTTTGGAAAGTGAGACACTGCAAAGAAACCTGGCCTTTTACATGCTATGGAAAACGTTAGTTAAAACAGGCTAATATGTTGTGGCAGAATTACTGCCTTGATTCAACAAAGTTTTTCTAAAATGACATTAGAGCCTGGATGTAGGCAAGATAATTTTCCACCTAAGATAATTAATATATTGTATTATCATTAGGGTTTAACAAAATTCAGAGGCAGACCTATGGACACTACTTACATATACAGTTTCTTTTCACTGTCCAAGGATGCTTTTTCAAACACATCTTTAAAACTTTTTCGGATCACCTTGATATTCCTTAGAGTGAAAGAAAGACAAGGAAAATTGGAATTTTAAATAAAGATCAAGTGCTTTCAAATAAAAAAAGGGCTTCCATTTTATGCAGAAAAGACAAGAAGTTTTCCTCACCTAAGTACCCATACTAAAAGACAAGGTTGGTAATGAAGAATCAGAACAGTTTCTGTAAAGGTAAATCTGACCCCATTTATCTTTTAGACTTAATGGGACATAGTGGGAACATCAAAGAGAAGTCATTTGTGTTATGAGGAGGGACAAAGTGCCTCCTCATAACACAAATCTATAATCCAATAATCTATTATTAATATTCTACATTTGATAACATATAGATATGCCTATTATTGGGTTAAGTTTCATTTGGCTTGCATTTGTGATTTAGTTCTATGTATAAAGTGGCATTTTGAAACTAACTTAATATAAGTTTTAAATAGGTTTTAGACTAGGTTTTTAATTATTATTATTATTACTTTAATTATTTTACTTTTTAAATACTGTGTAGTGTGATTGTGATGTGGTGTTTGGGGCACTGTGCTGGAGTAGCTTTCAAATTTCATTGTATTTTGAATGCAATGACAATAAAGGTATTCTATTCTATTCTATTCTATTCTATTCTATTCTATTCTATTCTATTCTATTCTATTCTATTCTATTCTATTAATGAAATAGCTTTTCCTTAGCCAGAGTTCACAATCTTTTTACTTACTTGGAAAGATTTCACATAGGATCAGGATGAGCTTGGTTGGGGAAGTAATAGCGTGGCAACTCTAGCAGTGTGAGTTGATTCTGACATGTTGATCGTAACATTAGTTGACAATGTTATCTTAAGATGTAGAATATATACTGATATGCTTTTCTCTTAAGCATCAAATGACTATTATTTTCTGTAATAGGCATCCAATGTAAACTGGACTAACATAAAACAATGTTTTGGTTAAGCCCCGAGCCACAGCTGTTGAGGAGGAAGTTACACAGCCTTGTGGCAGCACTGGTGTCCCAAGGACTACTATATTTGATTGTGGAGGTCCTGGTAGCTGAGAAGAATCATACAATGGCATGTCCCTTTCTTTATTAATATCTATGTGCTTTATGCATTAGCATCACAGAGCATAAATTTTTGTAGTTTTGATACAGAAAAAAAATTAAAAAGCTTTGCACAGAACAAAACAAATGGCATAGTTAGCAGAATTCAAGCTGGAAAATTAAACTGCTCTTTGCAATAAAATGAGAATCTCTCAGGATAGAAAACAGTTAAAATTCTGGGACTGCATATTAATTCAACATTCCAAAATCAAGGAAGATGATAGCAAACCATGTTTGTATTTTTCAGAATGAATGGTTTTGGTCATAGGTCATACTTTTCTTATTATTATTTTGGCAGAGAGCTACTACGTATAAGATAGTTAAGTAATTAAAATGAACATGCCTGAGATTTTGGAAGAGATTTTTTGGGGGGAAGATATTGATTTTTGTCCTTTTTATTTATTTATTTTTAAAGTTTGTTACTTAGTGGGTTATTTCTCTCACTTCATAGTATAATTCCTGGACCTACCCCCCCCCCCCCCCCAAAAAAAAAAAAGATTTAGAAATTGTGTGAAGCTACGAGTTTATCAGCCTTTTTAAAATAGTTTTAAAATTTGAACATTCAAAATATATTTTAAAATATATTTTAAGGAACCAAATATTAATGATGTAAGCTCTCACGGAATGAATTTAATAACAGAGATATGTACAAGTATTCAGATTTGAAATATAACATTTCAATTGCAAAAAGCATTCCCACCTTAAATGTAAAACAGCTGTTTCAAGTACAAAGCAGGACTGTTTGGAGAATTTAAAAAAGTGTTTCTAGATCAGAAAAAGGAAGTCTGTTTCAAATTCAAAATTCTTATTTCAAATTTGAAACTTTCAGCTTAAGATATCTTGCCCAGCACTACTGAATAGCAAGCTGATCCTAATTATATGAGACTGTTACCTTATCCATAATTCATTTTCTATACAACGTTGGTCAAAAATATTTTTCTGAGCCTCTTCAACCAGAAACATCACCACTGCTCTGAAATAAAAATACATTATGTAGTAATTGCATTAAATAAAATATCCTAATGTTCCTAGGAGTAGCGCATTTTTAATGCTATTAAAAAAGGAAGAAATATAAAAAAACAGATGTAATAAAGCTATTTCCTTAAAAATAATGGATTTCATCCCTCTAGTATTATCAGTCTCATATTTCTTCTAGGTAATTGTTTTTGCCACCCACAAAAAGCAATCTACAAAAATAATCTCCACTTTGTACACTTATGTATACATAAATCTCATCTTTATGCAATCCTCTATAGCAGGGGTGTCAAACTGGATTTTTTCAAGGGCTGGATCAGCATTGTAGTTATCCTCCATGGGCTGGCAAGGCAGGGCGGGGACGGGGGGGGGGGGGGAGACAGGATGGACACCTCCTACAGCACCCTGCCAGCCAAAACATTTTGGCTGGCAGACTGCTGCAGGAAGCCGAAAATGGGCCGTGGGGTTCCGCAAGCGGGCCAGTCCTTTGCTATTTTCAGACTGGCCCTGTGGGCCAGATTTAAGGCCTTGAGTTTGACACCTCTGCTCTAAGGTGTTTGTGATGGTCTCCTATTTGTCTCTTTGCTTACAATATGGTTGTCCATCCTTTACATACAATACAATAAATACTGCAGGGCCTCAGTCCACTTCCTGCTTATTTCAACTGATTTTTTGAAACTCCAGTCATAGTCTTCTTCTGTTACTGTTTTACCAAAATTCTACTTGCTGCCTTTAGATCTTATTGTCTTCAATCGTGGTTTCAAAGATCACCACTATTACTATTCATGGATTATTGAAACGCATCCTAAATGGGGCTGCCCTTGAAGACTACGTGGAGGCTGCAGCTGGTCCAAAATATGGCAAAGTTGGCAGTAATTAGTATGCTATGATAAGCCTAAAGCAGTTGACATTTACTGCTTTGCAAACTGCACTGGTTACTAGATGGCTTCCAGGGGCTTCCTGACACAGTTCAAGATTGCAACTTATAAAGCCTTTTATGACATAGGGCCAGGTTATTTGAGGAGTTGCCAATTCCTCCAATTGTTTCTGCCCTTCTGGTGAGATTAGGCAGAATGGGTGTGCTTTATGTTCCTTTGATTAAACCTAGGAAACATGCCTTATCTGTCACAGAGCATCACTTATTCATAAAAATAACATGCAGCGCTATGCAGATATTTTATAGGCTGCTTAACTTACCTATCTGAGCCGTAGAGTTCCCAAGCTTTTGCAATGCCCATAGCAATTCCTTTTGATGGATTATTGGAAAGCAGTTTGGAGGCGTCCTTTGATTTCCCCAAAACATTCAGCACATGCCTATGATTGGGATAGATACAAAAGTCATAAAAGATTTCAGAATACATAACTGCTAGGACAAAGCTATTAGAGAAATTAAAGACCTAAACACTTTCTGAAACATATACTCTAAAAATCCTTCATGAGTAATGCACATATATGCAAAACATTTTCACTTGCAAAATTAAAGCAAGCATGGAAAGATTATTATTGCCTTATATTTTGTGATCAAAGCATCAATTTATTCAAGGGTGCCATTAATAAATGTCATTCTGGACTTGGCAACAGGTTTTATCAAGGAGAAAACCACAACCCACCAAAATGGGAGGGCAGACTATATTATATAAACAGAAAAAAAACTCGTCCCTCACTCACACTGATGTTTTCTAGTTGGGACAACAAAACATTTCCAAGCATAAAACCAACTTCAGAAGTACCAAAGTCTCCATAGTTTAAGCCTGAGCTACTTATACTCCATTGTATCAAAACTGTCTATGTTTTATAACAGCATCTTACAAGCACAAGCACAGCAACAATAATTCAAGGCAAAATTCATATGAATAATTTTGAAGAAACTCAGCTTTTTATTTTTAATAAAAACAAGTAAGCATAGAGAATTAATTTATTATATTGATCGTTAGAAGGATTCAGAATTTTATGCTGGTGCTTTTAAGAGAAAGGATTCTGCTGTATACTGGATGAGCAATGAGCTCACAAATAGGTTGTTGTGTAGATGAGAAGCTGGCAGCTTTGGATTCAAGTTATTATTTATTTATTAAATTTATAAACCACTCATCTCTCTGTCAAGTGACTCTGGGTAGTTCATAATATCAATATCAAAAACCAAGTACAAAACATTAAAATATTAAATATTTAAATAGACAGATGAAATAAAGAACAAAATCCAGTGGGCTGGGAGGGTGGGATCTTCTTCCTTGTCCACTAACTATCTCCAGCATGGAACACTCCCTTCAGAGCCCAGGGCCAAATGGCAGAGCCAGGCTTTGACGCTCTTTCAAGGCCAAGAAGATGGGAGTGGATCTCATTTTGAGGGGCATGATGATTCAGAGGGTGAATATAAGTAGCTTATATTCTTAGATGGACGTTAACTAAGGCATTTCAACTAACCTTTTCCCATGCACTTCTGCTCTACCTGAGTTAGCCAAAATCTTAGTGATACATGATATTTTTAAGTAGCCTTAAAATAAGAATTGAAAACTTGTTGGATGAAATCACAAAAGGTGAAGGACAATTCTTCAGCATTTTACATAGTTTTAAGCTATCCCTATTACAGAATATAAAAAGCCCTGAATAAATACAAGCAAGCCAAGGGCGAATTCCAGTCAACTTTGCTCTGCTAAAATCATACAGTGAAAAAACCCAAGTTTGCTGGCAATCTTACCGGTGTACTGTAGTGGTTCGAGATGTGAGGCCTCCAAAACTTGCAGCAATGGTATTTATCTCTACTTGTTTTAGAGCTGGAGAACCATCTGCACCATAGTCAAACATGTAATCAGAGCGATTGATTCCTAAAACCAATGACTAAGTAAGACAGAAACAGAAGTAAGACAGAAACTTGCCACGATAGCAGGCAAGTATTCCAAGTATTCCAAAAGGACTATTTATTCTGCATTATTATTCATTGAACATCAATTTGTTCATCAGTTTATTGGGTGCACTGAGCACTTAACCGTAAGATAATCTACATGACAGCGGTTCTAGTACTAGGTTCATGTTTCCATAGGGACTGACTGGCAAGGGAAATTTTAAAGAAGAACTTTTCTATTGTTAATAGGATGAAGGTCTAGGATTAGGCGTCCATGGGATTGGCTGATATAAATGGTTACACTGCCTTGTAGAATACATTAGAATAATCCATATGGGAGTTGGCTAGTACATGAGCAACTGTGAGACTCCCCAAATTTTAGATCACTTTGCCACTGCTTTGATAGGAAAACCAGATTGGGTGTGTGACCGATGTCTTGTGTCAGGTTCTGAATGACCTGGGATAATCCAAGCCTGGCATTGATGCCAGGAACTTCTGAGCCACATCAGACCCCCTCCCAAGAAATGCAGATTGAAATCACCAGGGTAATAAGCCATTTATCATTTGCTGAAGTCTTAGATTAGTCTCTGATTCAGCATGATATGAGAGTTAGTTTTATTGTAAGTATCTAGGGTAAATGGTAGTCTTAGAATTATATAGGATAACCTGTTTCAATAACAGGTTGGATGATCCTAAGTTAATAACCACTTATTGAGTGACCAAACTTATGACTGCTGAATGAATGTTACTTATGAATGGTCCTTGAAGTTCTAGCTATCACAGCACTCCCGTGGTCACTTGACTGCATTTTGTAACCTTCCCTACTGGCTTCTCACAAGCAAAGTCATTGGGGAAGTCAGTATGAAATCAGAAGTTGCAATCTTATTAGGTCCTCATTTAACTGTTTGTGATTCACTTAATGGTAATGGGGAACAGTTAGAACTGCAATCACTATTTGGTGCAGTCATGTGAGGTCATACTTTATGACTGCATAATTTTGCAGCAGGAATTATTGTTAAGCAAAGACAACCTGCCCTCTGTTACAATAGAGATTGCCTGACGAGATAACATTTAGGGTATTTTCCCCTATTGTTAGGGTTAGGTTTCTTTTTGCTTTACACTTACATTTAATGTGAAGGTTACTTTTTGAGTGAATGATTACTATTAGTAACAGGGAAAAGCTATGTTTTAGGAAGTGCTTACTAGTAAATTTTTTAGGTTAAAATTTTGTATTGGCAGAGGTGTGAGAAATTAGGGCCAAAATTAGGGATTTTTGACAGCTTGGTTTCATTTTCATGTGATGATTAGCTTTAGGTTGATTTACTGAACTCGTGTAAGAACTCTGAGGCACTTTTAGGTGGAAAGGATTAGCCAATGACATCACAGTTTCCCGGGCAGTGCCCAGTTGGGGGGCTCCTCTCATATCCCCAGCAGGAGCTGGTGTGAAGGATGGGAACTCACCTTGCCCTATGGTAACACACCTTGAATGGGGGCTTGGAAACCTCCAACCCAAAATCTTAACTACACAAACCACTTTGCTCCTGGCTGATTTATGCCAAATTGTAATGTTAGGTTTATGTTACCTGAGGACTACCTATCAAGGTACTTGATAGGGCAAAAAAAAATATGCCAGTAGGGCAGTAATCTAGGGTTAGGTTTCCTTGAGGTCCAAGACTGTATTTAATAAGTGGCTAGAACATTCATTTATTCCTCATATTTATGTAGCTGCTCATTTCACAATAAACTGTAGGTGGCGTTGGGGTGAGTCTTCATCATTATTGGTATTTTTAAAGTTAAGTGCTATAAGGATTACATATTAAAAATAAATCAGCAGCTTTACAGCTTTTATGAAATACCTGAGCAATTCCTTCATCCAAAACCTGCTTGTAAATTTTAAACAGTTGAGCTGTAAAGTCATCCACTTTAATGATACTAGGAAAAAGTAGAAAACAGATATCATATGTAGAATTCGGACTTATTGTAAAAATACAAGAACCACTTTTAAAAAAGACACAAAGTAACATTGAAACTTTCAGTTCCCTAGAATTCTTCACAAGTTAAGGAATTATAAAAATACAAGGGATGGAGAAGTCCAAATATTAGACCAAATATTTTAGAGTGATGTTTATTCTTCAATAATTTTTCCTAATATATTTCTGGAACAAGTAGCTCATTATATAAAATAGGTTAGCAGGAAAAGATCTTGAATGAGCCTACATTTTAAAAAAAATTATACCATATTAGAAAAATAATATTACTGGGGAAAAAATTTCCCACTGTATTCCTCAGTTTAATATGTAATGCAGTTGTTATTTATCTTAAAAATCCAGTTCTTCATATTTCTGATGCCATTTGGACCTCCAGCAACAATTTTTGTGCACAAAAAATCCCCTCACAATGTATACATGAATTTTCAGCATACACATAATACCTGGGAATTCACATTATGTATTTCCAACTGTCATGTAACCACAAGAATCACAAGACCATTCACATGAAAAAGTATAGCAATCTTGGAATCTATAATATATATTGTTCTTAAACATGATAGAACATGAAATGGGATGCTGATTGATATTATTTACTTAGAAATACATTCATAATATATTTCCTTAGTTTTCCAGTCATTTGCAAACAATTAAAAATATCACTGGAATAGGCAGACAGTAACCTGATGTGAACAATGAGGAAGAATGTATGCATGTTCCTTCCACATTCCACTAAATCAATTTTAATGTAAGTTGTCCTCATTTAATGATCATAATTAATTAGGACCCACAACTGAGTTGCTAAGTAACATAATCATTAAGTGAAACATCATGCAACTGTTCCATGACTTACGATATGTTTAATTGCAGTTGTTAAACAATTCACCTGCAATCTTTAAGAATGCTATCATGTGATCATGACTTGCAACTTACTGCTGGCTTCTCCACTGATTTTGCTGTGAAGCTCGTATGTGGTAAACATGTGCTGGTTTAAAAACACCTGAATCACAATCACTTGACCAAGGGGTGCTGCAATAATTTTAAGTTCAAGGACCAGATGTAAAGCTACTTTTCAGCACTTGTAAATTTGAAAAGTCACTATACAGGGAAATTGTTTACTGAGGATTACCCATCTAGCAACTATGAAAACTGCATCTGAAATACTTTTTTTCTTAATATGCAATAGGCAGACATACCTGGCAAGAGTGCACTCTAGGAATTCTGTATCCTGACTAACTTTATCCACTAGTAGATTAAAGTCTTGTTGAGTGGAATAGGCTTGTTCAAGCAGACTTTTTGATACTGGAGATGGGAACAGTGTAAAAGGTGCAAAATTCACAACCTGTTAAACATGAAAAAGTAATGGATATTCTGGCTCATTCCCTTTGAACAAGTAATGAAATGAAGCTCTTTCAAATTTTTTAAGCATACTGGAAGTACCATATTTTTTACACTATGAGGCGCTCCAGGCCATAAGATGAACCTAGTTTTTGGGGAAGGAAAAAAAAAAAAATCTGCCTCTGCCTCCCAGCAATTTGCCTCCTTGCAGCAAACAACCTGGTCAGCTTCAGCACAGCCTGATTTAGCAAGAGCAGCTGATTGGTGGTTGGATCGGCCTCCCGGAATATCGCCGATCAGCTGTTCCAGGCTGCAGGGATCGCCACCACCCGTCGCTGCCATCGCTGCCGCCTATCACCACCTCCGCATGTCCCATTTTCAGCCTCTACATGTCTCGTTTTCAGCCTGTTCCAGACGGCAGGGATTGTTGCCGCCACACCTATCACCGCCACCGATCGCCACTGTGGATTGCCAGGCCTGGAAAGAGCTGAAAATGGGACGCAGCCTGGAACAACTGATTGGCGGTATTCCAGGAGGTTGATCCAACCACCAATCAGCTGCTCATGCTAAATCAGGCTGTGCTGAAGCTGACCAGGCTGTTTGCTGCAAGGAGGCCAATTGCTGGGAAGCAGAGGCCAAAGGGTGGGGGCCGGCAGGTGAGTGGGGCTTCGTCAACATTCAGTCTATAAGATGCACAGACATTTCCACCTTCTTTTTGGAGGGAAAAAGTGTGGCTTATAGAGCTAAAAATATGGTATGTAAGGAGGCAACTTTAATAGAACTACAGCAGAATTATATTGACAGCATTATGTATTTTCAGAATCGGAGCTTTAATGGAAACAAATGTTCCATAAATAATATAGCTACAAAGGAAAGGCAAGCGGGAGTAAATAAAAGAAACAAAGCTTTCCATGTACGTTGTGTCACTTTGGCCTGCTTGCTCACATTGGATCACTACATGTTGCCAGATTCGTTAACGGTATCATACATGAAAAAAATTATCACATGGAGACAAGTTACTGAGAACTTTGCTTATATGCAGATAATTGTCAGCTATCTTCATTGACAAGTATATGAGTGAATTTATCTACCCATTGAAGTTTGAAAGTATATAAAATGATAGCAGAAAATGAGCAGTACATATAAAGAATATAAAATAGATATGATTTTCTATTGAACAAACATGAAAAAATTAATCCAGTAATAAAGGACATATAATTAATAAAATTGTAGGGGGTATAGAAATAGCTAAATAACTGCTGAGTAATACTACAACATTGCTATACAATAACATAAGCACTTGTTTTAAGACCTGTCAAGTCGGTATCTATGGATAGGTATATGGTGCTACAAAGATTTTGCAACATGAATTCTAGTTTTCAACTTACATCAGAAGCATTGGGGTCATCTTTAGTCCTCATTAGAACACCTTCAAGTAGTGCTCTGTCTATTGCAATGGGAGCCACATATTGAATGAGCTGCACATTTTGCAAAATATCTTTCCAAGGCGTAGTCATCGCAAAGACTGAAAAAGATATAAAATTCTAAAAATATTATTTTATACACACACACCAAGATGATGTGTAGGAGAAAAATAATATTCAATATCCATTAAAAATATATTGCAATAAATTAAAAAAATCCAAGGTGAAATCATGTAATATTAAATTGTGTAACACATTTAAAAAGTTCAGAAGCTCAATATTTAACAATCCAAACATTTAGCAAAAGGCAATTGGAACATAATGAAATTTTAAAGTTTGATTTAAAATTTCCACAATATGTTGGAATGAATTTGTAGAAGTTTGAGCCACCACTAAGAAGTTGATCTTATTCACAGATATAATTATGTAATTTATCCTAAAAACACACAATCTGTCTAATATATATCTGTGAATATATCCCACAAAAATATAGTGGTACTTTATAGAGTAGAATCTTTAGTGAACTTCACACTTGACCAAAGACATGAGAGTACAAATCTAATTCTTAGATCCATGATATAAGTGCACAAAGAGTTAAGAGACTGAACTTTAATTCTGATTATTTTTTATTGAAGTAAATATAAAAACAAAAATTACAAAATTCCTGGGTAGCAGGATAGCAATTTTCCTTCCAATTACGCATAGGCACACACACACACACACACACACACACACACACACACACACACACAGAGGGAAAACATTGTTTTACAGAAATAAACTAAATGATTCCTAAATACATAGCACCTCAAAATGAAATAGTATTGCAGATAAAATCAGATTTTCATGACCACTAGTGAACAGAATGAGTGGAATACACAATTGAAGTATCATTATATTCTGTCCAGAACTTTCCTCTTTGTTAGTATAGATTTCACACAGTCATCAAATTATAATGCTGCCTTTTGTAACAATGTCTGTGTCTATGTATCCTGTGTCTGAGCTCCACAAATACATTTTTTCATGTATCTCTATTTGTGAGAAAGAGAAATATTCTATTAATAACAATGCTAGAAAAAATGCACTGACTGAATATCTTTTTTTATTAGAGGAATTCCCCCATTTCTAGTTATTTTTAGTGTAATAACAAAGTTCATCTGGCAGTTATACCTCTGGGCAAAGCAGTAATCTATTAATGCATATTTCCATGAGCCAAGAAGTACAATAATGAATCCCTATAGATATAGATCTTGACAACTTATGTCAGAACAGCATTTACGATCTTTTAAACATTATACAGAAACCCAGGCTAATGGAAGTAGTTTGTTCAAAGGAAGCTTTATGCTAAACAATGTAACCAACCTCTAGTATTAATAATGAGTTACTTTAGAAAATTTAAGCTATTTAGCTGAACAAGTATAAACAATGTTGTTTTATCAGGTTCAGTAAAGTACCTAGAGCATCTTGCAACCTTAAGCCTATTTGGAAGAAATCTGGATAGCTACACACATTGCAATAATTCATTTTTCTTCTCTGTTACAAAGGAATGTGAAAAAAATATAAGACCAATTCCATTTATTAAAATAATATCATATATCTACGGCTGAAACTATGGAAGAAAAAATTCATTGTTTCTAGAACACTCTAGTATTGTTTTAACATTAAAATAAATGAAGGCAAACAAAGTGGGGGGGGGGGATCTCAACTGTTGGTACACAAAAAGCAAATGCTGAATCATCTATGGCCTGTCTCTAGTTAATAATTGTTTTTAATCACTCTTTCCCTCCCTCACTTTCTGTAAACCACAGCATCTTTTAGAACAGATCTACCCCATTCTCAGTCAGGAATCTGTGGGCCCGAAGTGCCTTCTTTTCCATCATAAAATGAACAGACAGTTCCGTTATAGTAGTTTTTAAAGAAGCTATAGCCACGTTTGCCTCTCAGGTTTGACTTCTGCACCCCAGATATTGGCTAGCTTTGGTCTCGGTCCACTTCTGCTTCCCCAAGTCCCTCGGCAGCGGCTTAACTCTTCAGAAACCACCCCACTTCATTGTTAGAAAGGACAAACGCTGCTCTGCCTCCTTCTGCCCTCAATAGTCCCGCACCCCACTTTTTGTCACCTGAGAAAGGCTGTGGGTTCATGGGCACCACTGGGTCCTCCCATTTCTCCCTACCAGTGGGTGGGGAAGGGCGCCGGCTGCTACATCCTCGGCTCAGAGCACTGATACTCACTAACACACCGCGCCCTTTCCGCGGATTTAAATTTCTATGCAACCACTGAAAAACAGAAGACATATGTCCCGCCGCCCAGGCGCCCATCCATCCACCCGGTACCTGAGACCACTCTGACGGGAATCCACAACTATGTCCGCTCAGATAGTCCCTCGCAGATTGGCTACCCTTTCAGCCTATCCACGGTGTCCGTTGCACTGATTGACAGGGATGTAATCATATCAGAGAAGTACCCACAAAAAAAAAAAAAAAAAAAGGCAAACGCCGAGGAAAAAGGAGGAGCCTATGCAAATACGGAGGCGGGTCCCGGCGCCTTCCCCTCTTTGCTCTTTACCTGTTGCATGTTTCTCCGTTAGGGATTTTTTCCCTCACGCTTTTTCCCTCACGATCCGGGCGCCATATTTGAATGTGGATGGTGGCCAGTCCGCAGCAAGGAAGGAGGGAGGGGCTGGAATCTGGGGCTGAAGTCAAAATAAACGGGATGGGCAAAAAGATTTTACAGGCCATTTTTACAACCGGGAAGCTGTCTATGGAAGCTGCTGTTTTCCTTGCAAAGACGGCTGTAGGTCGGGAAAGGTGACCTCATCATGTAGGGGTCCGGTCACAGAGGGGTGTAGAGGTCACGCGTCAGACTTGTGAGCGTTTTTGACATCACGTCTGCTGCCTTGGGGTGAAAAAACAACAACAACCCTGCACGGATGAACTGCTGTTAAGACCTGCGAAGGGGACGCCCGGCGGGTGAGAGGAGAAGCGTCCGTCGTGGAACGAGATGGACACTGAGGAAAGGAGGGAGGGCGAACAGGAGTAAACCTTCCAAGGGGGCGTTCATGGGTCCTCCAAACGGTTGAGGTGAAGTTCAAAAATCGGAATGGAGAGCCTTCCTTTTCTGGAACAGGCTCTTTCTTTTTACTATCCAATGCTTTACTATCCAAGCATTCATCGGTACAACCCTCTTATTTATCCATATCACAAATGTATCCATGTGTGAAAATAGCTGTCACTTAGAACAGGGGTCTCCAACCTCGGGCAACTTTAAGACTTGTGGACTTCAACTCCCAGGGTTCCTCAGCCAGCAGAGCTGGCTGAGGAACTCTGGGAGTTGAAGTCCACAAGTCTTAAAGTTGCCCAGGTTTGGAGACCCCTGACTTAGAAGATCCTTGTTTTTCCTTCTCACCTCCCCTCTTTCTTCTTGTTCTCTTTTTAATACTGTTTCAGACACTTTGAAAAACAAACAGTTCCATAGTTTCCCACCTATTGGGTTTCCCTGGCAGCTTCTTATCCAAGTAGGAGTTGACATGTCCCTACCTAGTCAAGAGAAGGTCAGCCTGATATTGATACCTACTCCTTGTTTCTTCTGTGTAAAATTTGAATTATACAGGCTGTGGAGCAAGAACGTTTTGTAAATAGGCATCATACAAAGAGTTGCTAACTTACAATTGGTAGTAATAACGGAATTGAGAGACTCGGTATTTTTCCATTTTTATTGAACCACGGCACAACAGCATCTTTTTTCCCTGTTACTTATATATCTTCATAACAGTGGCCTTGTCTTATGACTAGCCAATCAACAAGGCAGTCTTAAATCATTTTTAATTCAGCCGAATTAAACTTTATGGTCAGTAATGAGTATTACCTTTGTCATCTTTTATTTGTAGAAGAGAAGACTATATAATTTCAGACTATATAAGCAATATACGGATCAATAATAGCACATTTCATGTTTGTGTTTCAGTTGAAGAATGAGTCAATAATACAATTTAACAAGGTAGGGCATTCACTTAATGTAAATAACAAAGTTTGTGAAGAGAGTTAAGATCAGTGCAATCTTTTTTTTAACCTTTTGTCTGTTGTTTTCCAATAGTCATGCAGAGAAGTAGGTTCCTGGAAAATTGAGAATAACCTGGTCCATTAGATAGCAATATTTCAAGTGCAGTTTGTTTTGGGCTTTAATGTTCAAATTGATGTAGTAAGTGCTATCAAAAAGTAACAACTTTTGTTAGATCACTTTAGGTTGATGAAATCTTGCATATTAGTTTATTGATTTAAATAGGTCCAATAAAATATATTTGCCTGCTTATTTTAAATATTTAATTATTTAAATAATTTAGTTAATAGTGTGATTCTATACATATCAATTCAAAAGTAAATGTTATTTCTTCTATGAACTTTAATCCCAGGGAAGTGTATATATAATTACAACATAATTTTAGGTTCACCAATACCAATCTGCAATTATTAAGTAAACATTCCAAACATGCCAGGTTCCAAGGGAGAAATAGTTAAGAAAGAAATAGCAATCCACTTCAGTATTCTGCCAAGAAAACAAAAAAGATACTCTCAGCTAGGATAAACTTGACATGACACTGAAATTTGACACGCCCCATCCCCAGTTTGGAAGATATCCAAAAAGCTATTGGGGGAGAAGACAGCAAGTATGAAAAGCACTAGTGCTTTTAATGTGGCAGGATTAAAGCTGAAAGAACATCCAGCTGCTGCTGTAGCCAGAGACAAAAGGGGACTTAAATGCAGTACTGCTAATATATATGTATACCATTGGTATGTGGAATGTCAAATCCAGGAAATAAGACAAACTTGGTGTGATCAAAGCAGAAATGTCAAGAGGAACATTAACATTCTGGGAATCAGCAACTAAAATGGAATGGAATGGATCATATCACATCAGAGAAGCATCCGTTTTTCTGCAGACTAAGGCAATAGGGTATCCATTATTAAAAGGATGCCAAAGTTCATGCTTGGATACACCCCCAAAACTGATAGACTGATCTTAGTTCAAATCCATTACAATATTACAGTTACTTGAATCTATACTCCAACCAGAGATTCAGAGGAAGTGAAACTGAACATTCTATGATGACTTGTGATGCAGTGTTTACACAGCACCAACAATGACACATTTATTATGGACTGAATGGAAATGTAAAATAGCATTTTGAATAATTAATACATTTGGCCTAGGTATCTGAAACTATACAGTTGAAAGCTAAATTAAAAAATGATTATAGCATTTAATAGTGAATCTCAGCAACATAAAATATTATTTTTGATAGTCTATGCTCCACAAATAGAGATGGAAAAGCTTTAGTGCTGACTGCAGCTTGAATCGCAAGCATCTTGCAAAATTATGGCTTAATTAAAGAAAACAAAGTCATGAAACCAATAAGATACAACAGCAGCATTTTATATAGTTATGCAATGAAAATTACAGATTAAATAAATTGGATTATATTAGATTTGATAAATAGAATACCTAAAATACACCAGACTGAATTTTGTCACATTAATGTTCCCAATGTTCCCAAAATGCAAAAAGCAAAAGAGGGAAAAGGGATGCTCACTGATATCCTAAAAACGTCTGAAGAAGGGCAAAAAGCAAAAGACAACAGAGGCAAAGGAAAATTTGTTGAATAAACACTGAATTTCAGAGAACAGCAAGACAAGGAGATGTAAATGATTGCGCTAAGATATTAGGATAACAACTGAATAGAAAAAGCAACAGGTAGGACTTGAAATCATCAGGAGTGACAGTCATGTTGATATGTACTCTAAAAGAGACACTGAAGTAATTGTCATGCAAAATAATTGTGGAAGACATGAAAATCTCAAAGAGATCAAATCGGAAATATTTAAAAATAGTCTGATATGTTTACATAACTTACACATGGAGCATTAGAAAAGTAGTTAAAAGAACAAGAAAGAATGATTTAGAAAATGTAGGATGTATTCTAATTTATTGCTTCTTAGAGAGATTAGTATATATAGATAATATATCCAAATCCTTCTCTATGGTATAAATAAACATAAATCATATAGTACAGTTAGAAGATAGATAGAATACTTTATTGGCCAAGTATGATTGGACACACAAGGAATTTGTCTTGGTGTAAATATTCTCAGTATACATAAAAGATACATTCGTCAAGAATCATAACGTACAACACTTAATAATAGTCATAGGGTACAATAAGCAACCAAATCATACTAGGAAACAGTCAAATCATAAGGATACAAGCGACAAAGTTACAGTCATATAGTCACAAGTGGGAGGAGATGGGTAATAAGGAGTGATAAGATTAACAGTAATAGTAGTGCAAACTTTGTAATAGTTGAACAGTGTTGAGGGAATTATTTGTTTAGCAGAGTGATGGCTTTCAGGAAAAAAAACTGTTCTTGTGTCTAGTTGTTCTGGTGTACAGTGCTCTATAGCATCATTTTGAGGAAAAGAGTTGAAACAGTTTATGTCTGGGATGTGAGGGGTCTAAATATTTTCACAGCCCTCTTTTTGACTCGTGCAGTATACAGGTCCTCGATTGAAGGTAGGGTGGTAGTAATTGTTTTTTCTGCAGTCCTAATTATCCTCTGAAGTCTGTGTCTGTCCTGTTGTCCAGACAGTTATAAAGGTGCAGATGATAGACTCAATAATTCCTCTGTAGAACTGTATCAGCAGCTCCTTGGGCAGTTTGAGCTTTCTGAGTTGGCACAGAAAGAACATTCTTCATTGTGCTTTTTTTATGATGTTTTTTGATATTAGGTGTCCAATTTAGGTCATGTGATATAGTAGAACCTAGAAATGTGAAGGTCTCTACTGTTGATACTGTGTTGGTCTAGTATTGTAAGAGGTGGTAGTATGGGAGGGTTTCTTCTAAAGTCTACCATCATTTCTACGGTTTTGAGTGTGTTCAGTTCCAGATTGTTCCGGTTACACTACGAGGCAAATTGTATAACTTCCTGTCTGTATGCGGATTCATCATCTCGAATGAGACCAATCACTGTTGTGTCATCAGCAAACTTCAGTATTTTAACAGATGGATCGTTTGAGATGCAGTCATTGGTATATCGGGAGGAGAGAAGTAGAAAAAGCACACAGCCTTGGGGGGGCCCTGTGCTGATTGTACAGGTATCAGATGTGATTCTGCCTAGCTTCACCTGCTGCTTCCTGTCTGTTAGGAAGCTTATGATCCACTTACAAGTGTGTTCAGGTACCGCTAGTTGATTTAATTTACTTAGAAGAATACCATGTACTCCTATATGTTATAAACCTACATATGGTATTAACATATAAATAGAATATTTGTATCTCTTAAAATATTTTTATTCTTAAATGCTGATTCTGCTTA